CCCTCTCATCCTTGTTCTCTGGGAGCAGAGCCCAAACCCTCCTGTCAGGGAGTTGCAGAGCCAGAAGGTCCCCCCTGAGCCTCCTTTTCTCCAGGCTGAGCCCCCCCAGCTCCCTCAGCTGCTCCAGCCCCTTCCCAGCTCCCTTCCCTTCCCTGGACACCTCCAGCCCCTCCATGTCCTTGTCCCCAGTTTCCCCCCAAACACCCCCAGCTGAAGGTGGTCCCTATTCCAGGTCAGGGGGTCTCTGCTCCCTCCGGTGCCCAGATCCCCAAATCCCATTTCCTGACCCCAATTCCCATTTCCTGGCCCCAATTCCCGGCCCCTGTGACCCAGTGAAGCTCCACAAGCTCTCGGTGTATTAAAATACAGACACTTTAATATAAAGACAAAACTTCAAAGCATCGTTTCAATTACAAATCAAGGGGAGAGACACCAGAAATTAAGTGGAGGGAGGGGGAGGGGGGGAAGCAAAAACTAACTCTTACATTGTGGAGAATTAGAAAGGCAGGGTGGAAATATATATATTATACATACATATATACACACCAGAATTCACACTATTTCTATGCAGGAATGAAAGGAATGAACAGGACAACTTACCAGTATAAAATAAAATAAAATTAAAAAAAAAAAAAAAGCACAACCAAAAAAAAAAAATTAAAGAAAAAGATAAATTAGGGGAAGTTTGAATTTTAAATAATTCAGTTTAATAGGCTAAATTATATAAACTAATTCCTATTCACTAGGAAACATCCCATATCACTGTCCTAAGAAAATGGGTTTTTCAAAAAAAAAATCCACTGGAAAATGGATTTTTTTATTAGTAGTTAAAAGTTTACTAATCAATTCCTGAGCAACAGCAACCTCATCCTCTACTGCTTTCCCCATCCAAGTCCCACTCAGCGAGGGCAGGCTCTCACTCCTAAAAACTTTAAGTGGAACAGAGACCTAAAGAGTTGGGTTTTAATCGGAAAAAAAATCCATCACTTCAAAGATTAATAGGTTAAAAAAGCCAAGCAGGATGGGCCAAGCCATTCCACCTGTTCCTCAACAACTCCAGAGACGGGACCTTTAAAAATAAACAAACCACCATTTGACTGCACCAGAAAAGCAACCAGAGATGTACCTTGAGAAAACCTTTGGGAACTTCAGGGTCAGCATCTTCCAACCTGGAATTATTTCAGGGCGTAGTTTTTGTCTTTACACCGCAAGAAAAACTCGGGGAGCCTCTTCAGGAAGGTCCCAAACAGCAAAAGTGCTGCAGAAATATCTCCCAGGCTTGTTGGGGTTTTTTTGTTTTGTTTTGTTTTGTTTTGTTTTTTGTCTCGGGTTTAAACCCTGAAGTTCTCAAAACCAGCATCTTTTAATGCAATATTCAGTCTAAAATAGATATTTATATATTTATAATGCATGAGGATAAATAAAATATGGCACAGCAACATTTTGAAAAACTGGTTCTCCAGCTTTTGGTGAAAACCCGATCCACAAACTACAGAAATGGAGCACAAAAACAAACAAAAAAAAAAAAAAGAAGGAAAAAAAAAAAACTCTTTAAAACCAGTAAAACTTGGAATCCTCGTTCTGTGCTCCCCAAACCCCCGTTCCTGGGAGGTTTCCCTCAGTGCTGCAGAGATAGTTCACAAAAACACTGTCTGGTTTCTGCTCCCCTGAATGATTTCCCAACATTGAGGGTTCCCAGCCTTGTCCAACGTCCCCTCCCTGCTCCAGAGAGACACACCAGAAGATCCCAACCCTGACTCCTCTCCCTGCTCCTGGCTCAGGCAAAAACAACAACAAAAGCAGGGTTTTCCCCCACAGCCACTCGTGGGAGTTGGGAGAACTTGGAGCTCTCCAAGGAAAAATAAGGTGGAGAATCCCCGGGATGAAGGGTGGATTTCAGCACCAGAAGTCAACGGGTTCTGCAGGACGTGCCCAACCAAAGCCACCCCGGCATCAGCACCAGGACAAAGCACCCAATCCCGAGGGAT